TATAGGGGTGAAATAGTCCAGGTCATAGGACGAGTCTGAGCCCCAAGATCGCGCCATGCTATCATTGCAGATGGGATAGCGCGGGTCGGGATATCATCACCGCGTACGAGCACGTGTAGGACAGGCCGGCTTGGTGGTGCCTCAGCCTGCTCGTACGGGATGATGGTTCCGCCGAGGATTCCTTTCGGGGTGAGCGAGTCGACACACGGGAATGCGTGTAAGGGCGCGACTCAGATCGCGTTTACACGTGTTCTCGTGCGGCGCTCGCGGGTCCGGACTTCGGATCGCCTAAGGCTATGCAAGATGCGACCATACCACAACCTCATCGTGGGACGAGCGAAAACGAGAACGAAATCGATATCGGGGTTAGATTCTTATTCCCTCTATCGCTGCATTTGGTGCAAGCAAAGATTCGGCACAAACAAAAAGCAAGGGCAGGGATTCTCCGCAAAAAGATAGGCAAGTAGGCATAACATTCATGCATCCATACATTCGACAAACACATAATGCCATCGCAAGGACATGTATGAGCAAAAACCCAAGTCCAGATTCCAGAGAGCCGAAATGAAGATAAGAACGGGCAAACCGCCCGGAGCCGTAATCAAAATGTATGTACACAGATAAAGAGGGAGAAGAGACAAAGAAACAGCAAATCCACGTCCATCAACCTCAACTCTCTTCTCCTCTCTCTCTCTCTCTCCGATGCGAACAGTCTGTCGTCAGGCACCAACCCACGAAGTTGTCACCCCGCTTAGTCCTCCCGCACCCGTCGGATTCGCCCGTGCCCACAGTTCGTCGTGGCCCACGACAATCCCGCGTGTTCGGCACCAGCCCGTCGGGTCGCCCAACTCCGACTCTACTCACCTCTTACTTCGCTCGTGTGCCGACCCTTCTTGATCGCGCAACCCCCAGCTTCCAACAACGGGTTAAGAGAGGTGACTAATCGCGCAGCCGAAATTTATAGCGTGTATGCATGCGCGAAGAACACGGAGTTACCAGGACTTAGAGTGAGGATTAGAGAGGGAACGCTCGCGTTCTGCATGATCGGCCGCGGGGTGGGGGACGTAACCCTTCTCCACGCATTGATCCGAGCATGCAAGCCGCAACTTACAAAATTTCAGCAAAAGAAAGAGAGGGAGGGTGGGAGAGACGAAGTGCAAGAAGAGAGATATAGTTACAATGGCGCCCGCCCAAAATTACAGTTACACATATGATTAAGGGCGCCCACTAATCAGAGTACCGTTGTAGCCGTATGAAGAAGCGCGTAAACAAAAGGCGCCGCGCGGCAGGAAAAATCCTAATTACTGAATTCCTAAATTCCTATCTAATGTGAAAAAACAAAAAGCACGAATTCCAGAAGGGAAGTCTGATATTCCGAGAGCCATTGGGGGCTCAACAAAATTCGAAAAAGATTCAAGAGGAATTTAAAAAAAGAACGAAGGAATTTTCCCGCGGGATCTTCGCACCCAAAAGATTGAAAACCGAACCAAAAGAAACGACGTCAACATTTATTAATGGTGCGCGCGCGGCGTCCTGCCAGACAACCATCCGACCAATCAATCAACCGGCCGTCCCAAGACACACCTGACCCCGTGCCCGGCTATTCGAAAAAAAAAGGACGAAAAAGCGAGGACACTGATGCAATTCTCCACCGATCCCGATCTCCCGTAATTGGCCCAATCTTCCCAGCTTAGGACCCCTCATTGCAACCGCGCAGAAAATCTCGCGTTACAGAAAGTGGTTCGTCACATATGTGACGCCCAGGGGGTTCCAATATTAGCAAGCTCCTGCTTGCTTGTTGACACGTGTCGATTTCTCTAATTGATCGACACGCGGAGCAATTCTCTGTTTGCTACTCACCGTTCGATTGCGTGTGGACGTCATCCAACATGGCAACTCTGCTCTTCTACTAGTTCCTCAGATTGGGCTCTTCGACGATCCAAGGACGGGATCTTTCTCGTGCCGTCGCCGCGACACGCGTCCATTACCGCTGCATCAGTAATTAACCGGAAGGGGGAAGGGAAGGCGATACGCGTATGAGGGAGGTCGGGGCGGCTCCATCGTAAGCTCGGGTATGAAGCGCCCGATCGCAGTGAGGTCGTAGGGAAGTTCTTGAAAACGGACAATGTGATGGAAGCGGGGGAATCTTTGGGCGCTGCGGGGAAGGGAAGCGAGGTAGTCTGGGTAAAGGGATACGAGGGTTCGGAGGACGTTTGTGCGGAACCGATCATGGTTCTCGCAAGCGGGGAAGGTCCCCGTAACGATGCAGTTAACCTCTATATGGTTACGGCCTTGCCACGCGGCGCTAAGGAGCAGAACGTGGAGGGAGTAGTCGGGGACAGCACACCGAACGGAAGGGTGGGGGTGGACAGTCAGTTTTAGGCGGGCGGAGTAGAAATGTCGGAAGGTGGCGATGGGAATGGGATTACGGGGGTAGACGACGCGATGGAAATACTGATTGAAAGAGAGATAGCTAAGGGGATGGTGGTATATGGATCGGGGACGAAGGGCTAAGCCCCTCATTGACACGTTGACGAATTGGGGGACGGGCGGAGGCGGAGGGGGACGTGGATCGTGATCGGGATCGGCGCCTTGTCGTCGCGCCTCCCAAGGTCGTGGCAGCAAGGTCTCCATGTTTCGGCTTGGGCGGATCGGGATCCTTGAAAGGATCGTTCGGTGCGGGATCGATCGCCAACCGCTTTCCTTCCGCGATCTCTTTCTTGCGCTGCGCAGCAGCCTCCGGGTTCTCCTCTCGCCGATCCGGTCCTGGCACCCACTCGAGCTTGTCATGCGTTGGCTCCTGGTCGTCCCCGCTTTCCACTTCTTCGTCGTCTTCGTCCTCCTCCTCACTTTGCTCGCCCTCGCTGTACTCGCTATAGGCCTCTTTCTTTTCCTCCGAAGTCTCCTCCTCTGCTTCTTCTTCTTCTTCTTCAGCTTCCGCCGACTCTTCTTCTGCTTCGCACTGTTCTTCCTCGTCCTCGACCGATCGGGCCGCTGCTTCCCCGGCCTCTCTCCTCAATTCTCCTTCCGATTCCTCTTCGGCCTCCTCTTCTGCTCTCAGCGCCGCCCACTCGAACGCCGTTGGTTGCCGAAAGAAGCGGGGATTAGTCAGGCTGTGGACGTCCAGGTACTCGCTACGGGAGGGAAAACGGCCGTCCGCCCAGCGCTCCTTGATATAAGCCGACCACTGGAGGCTAAGGGCAAGAGTCCTTGAGAGGGTATGTGGCACGGGTTCTTCGTCGCTCTGAGACGATGTCGAGAGGGAGTTCGTCGGCCAATTGCGCGATCACGATCATAAGTTCACGCACGATCTGTGATCGGTTTCCCCGATCCACTGCTCCAAAGACAAATCCCAGAAGATCTCCTGCCACGTTGGTCCTCCACGCCTGAATGACGAGCAACTCCACAATCTCCGACGCGGGCCTTTGATCACCTTCCCACGTCCAGTTCAGATCCACTCGGAGCAGGCAAAACGAGAGCTCGACAAATTCCACACGCCACAACCACCAACGGTCCGGATCAACGATGGGTACTGTCAGTGGCTCCAGACGGAAGGAGAGACGAGGGTAGTGAGAGGACTGCCAGAAGATGGGGAAGAGAGAGGGAGGAGAGAACGTCGAGATCGGCGCGCGACTCATCTGCGCGGCTGGAAGGGAGCAAGTTCGGGGAGGACGACAGGTGGCTCGCGTAGCGTCGTGCGCAGCGTGTTGACTTCGATGCCATCCACAGGATAACACTCGTCACTGTGCCTTGTGAGCCGTTGATCCCAATCAGTGGCCAGATCGCGACCCCACCGGTACAAGGTGCTTTTGATGGCGGCTTGCCGCGCCGGATCGAAGGCGGTGATGTCGCCGCCGAAGACTATCACGGTAGACACGTGGCTGATTCCCGGGGCCGTTCGCCATTGGAACGTCGTTGCCTCGGCCAGCACCACTACTTGGGGATTGCTCGTGAATCGGAACTCTGCCACGCCGTATACACCCGCAGTGCAGACGAACTGCGCAAGGCGCATGAAGTCGGGGCTGATCCGCGAATGATGCACTTGGCGGATGGCTGAGATCTCTCCCCGTGGCATCAGCAACTGATCACTGAAAGCTCGCTCAATGGCGAAACTCATGGCGATGGCGGGGGTGACGGGGTGGCAGAGAGGGAGCAAGAAAGGGAGGGAGATGGCGGAGAGTCCGAGCCGTTGTCGTTGGCTTCCTCAGAAAGAGAGATCGAGGGAGAGGGAGACGGAGCAGAGGGGAGGAGGCAAAGATAGGACACGTGGCGTGTGATCGGACGAGCCGACCGACTGCCGGAGACTTCAGGGGCGAGACGCACGGTGTCCACGCCGTTGGGGCCGAGCTTGATCACGCGATATCGTCCGAAGAATCGTGGCGCTAGCTTACCCTGGCGAGCACATTTCCTCACCTGCACCACGTCCCCCAATTTGTACTGGGGCCGTGGACCCGCATTCCCATTTCGGGCCTCGTAGCTTAGAACCTGTCGGCCCTGGGCTAGTTCGGTCATTTTCTGTCGCTTTCGGGCGCCTGGGCAGCGACCTTTCCATTAACTCTAGGTGCCGTTTGGCCTTATCCCGAGCCGTAGCCCTAGTGGACCGTCGGTTCAACGTAGACTCATCCGGGAGGCTTGGTATCGAAACGCAAGAGACACTATTGGTCCTTAATTGGAAGGGGCTGAGCCCCGTTGATTCGTGGGGCGTTCCGCGATGGACCGCCAAGATGTGATCGACGATATCGGGCCAGGGTCTCGGATCCCTTGCCGCGATGTTCCGTCACAACGCTGTCTTTATCACCCGGTTAGCGTTTTCGACCAGTCCATTAGATTGTGACATGTGGGGTGTAGTGTTCCGTATGGCGACGCCATGTAGGACCAGATTCCTTAATACCTCTCCCCTGAATTCAGCCCCATTGTCGGTCAGGATCTCTTCGGTATCCTGATGCATCCCGAGGAAACGGTTGACATATTGCGCGATCTCCGTGGCTTGTCGCGTGCGACAAGGATACGCCTCGAACCATTTTGATAAATGGTCGACAAATACCAACAGGACTGAATATTCGCAACTATTAGGGCCAGGGGGCACTACTATGTTGGTAGTATCCATGCTTACTCTTTGAAATGGCCGTTCAACAACCGTGGGCACTATCGACCTTGGTGGCTGAATCGACGCTTTATCAGCGGCGCAGACTTGACAGTTGGCGACAATGTACTTCACATCGTCGCGGATATTGGACTAGTACCACTCATTTTTGTTGATAGCGGACTCTGTGATTCGTACGGCAAAATGAGCCGTAGTTTCCTCGTGTTGCCGTCTTAACCCAGTCATACCGCATGAACGGATGCGGCACTACCATCCAAATCCCACTGCCGCCCGTTTTTCGTTTTTCTAATCTGCCTTCTTTCCATCGATAATCCCGAGCCCTTTCGTTGGCCCTCCTCCAATCTTCCTTGGTGAAATCCTGGAGGGGGTTACCTACTAGGGTGGCAATTAAGACAATATCCGTCCATACTTCAGCCCTCCTAAACTTTCGGGTATTTTCCAACCCTTCTGACGTGGCGTCCAAAAAGCGAGCCTCGGTCGGAATCTTGTCGGTCCGGCACAAGGGGCACAGCCACGGTTTACTATCGTTTCTGTATTGGATGCACGGGCCATGGGCTCGTGCGACGCACAGTCGACAATCTCCAATCGACATACCCTTCCCCGTTAGGACACGTGGGGACCGAGTATACGCGGGAGATAGCTTCACAAAAATACCAAAATTCGTCAGGCAGGGAGAGGAAAGACGAAGAGGAAGGGGGGGAGAGAGGGGTAGTGGGGTTACCTCCGTCACCCATTGCCACCGTTTTGCTTCTTGCCACGTGGGAGAACTGCCACTTGTCCGTACTTAGGCTCGTTGGTGAGGTCCAGCTCCTTCCACGGTGTAATTTCCTCGCCCTTTGGTACCTCGGAAGGTCGATGCAGGCGTGTCAGCCCGTCCGCGTTGCCGTGTCGCTCCGTCTTTCGATGGACGTTATCGAAGTCGTATTCTTGCAGTCGCACCGCCCAACGGCCAATCATGCCCGTGTAGTTGGTGAGCTTCTTCAAAGCTAGGGGAGGCTCGTGATCCGTCACGAGGCAAAACTTCTGTCCGTAGAGATACGAATGGAAGTGCTGGATTCCCCAGACTACTGCATAGCATTCGCCTTGAGGTGTTGAGTCGTTCCTTCGTTCATCCGGCACGGTTCGTGACGCGTACTCGATGACGTGTTCGCGACCATCGTTCCCCTTCTGCGCTAGAATAGCAGAAATAACTTCCGGTTGCCAGTCCGTGATGAAAATGAACTGCTTCGAGGGGTCTGGTCGAATCAAAATAGGGGTCGTCGCCAGAGTGTCCTTGAGGGTTGCAAAGGCCTGCTGGCACTTCGCGTCCCAGCTGAGAGGCTGGTCCTTCCGTAACAGATTCGTTAGTGGTCATGCAATCGTGGCAAAGCCCTTGATGAAGCGCCGGTAGTACGACGCTAGTCCCAAGAAGGCTCGAACCTGTGTCAGTAACGTGCGAACCGGAGCTTCCTTCACCGTCGCAACTTTTCTCGAGTCTGGCCGCAATCCTCCACGTGTCACGACATAGCCTAAAAACGAAATTTCTGAGAGGAAAAATTCGCTCTTTTCAAGCGCAATCTTGAACCCAGCGTCTCTCAGTGCACCCAATGTCCATTCGATGTGTTGCGCGTGCCCGTGATAGGTTTCCGAATAGACCAGGATGTCGCCCATGTACACGATCACACAAAAGTTAATCATTCCTTGCGTCAGTCGTGTCTTGCTGACGAAGTTCTGAAACGTCATGTTCATCGCCCGCTGGAACGTGGCAGGCGCATTGCAAATCCCCATCGGACACCGAGCCCATTGCCACGTGCCGTCAAACAACACAAAGGCTGTCTTCGACCGATCTTCTTCCCTTACCAGAATATGATGGAAGCCATGCCGAATATCAAACTTACTGAAATATTTAGCGCATCCGATCGCATCCAACAGATCATCAATCCGGGGGAGGGGATACACATCTTTGATCGTGATTTCATTCAGCTTGCGATAATCAATGCAAATGCGAATCGCTCCGTTCTTCTTCGGTACTAACACTAGAGGGAAGGACCAGGGTCCAGTAGCGGGTTCAATCCAACCACTGGCTTCGAACTCCCGAATTTGTTTGAGAGCCTTTTTGCGTTCAATCAAGGAATAACGATAAGGTTTGCAATGAATCGGGGAATGATTTCCTGTCTGAATTTCGTGTTGGATTACTAACGACAGCTCAATGTCAGTGTCTGACACACTAATCGCTCCTTGATATTCTGTAAGAATGTCTGCAATTACCCAGTGGATTTCATCCGGCACGTATTGTGGAACGTGTAGTTCAAAAAGTTGGTCCCAGATCCGAACGTCAATCTGTTTCGTGTTCGCGTGTTTTACCAAATCGGGTGGAGGCGCCGAGATGAATGAATGATCCGATCGCCAGGAGAACACCGTGACCATCATCTGAGCATCTTCTTCTCGGATTGCCATGTGTCCTTCCGGGGTAATCCCGTCACAAACATCCTGCCATGACACTTCCTTGGTTGCGATCTTTATCCCCAGTCCGTCGGTTTCCGCTTCAAAACGCCCAGGGGGTTCCAGAGAGCTTGCTTCCGCCCCTAAGCGTAACAATCTCACTTCTTTGGCCGAGGTTAGTAAGGATTTGGGTAGAGCCGTAATGTCACAGTAATGCTTTTTATCACTGTACCGGGCGAGGAGAGGGGTGATGCCTTCGTACAGAGTTTGAGGGGGTTCCAAAGAATCGACCATCCTCGAAATCTGCACGAGGGGCTCACCCAAGATCATCGCCTTGGTCCTTTGAATCTTTCGGCTGGTTAGTTGCATCGTTCTCGCTATCGTTTTGGGCGGCGGGTAACAAACACGTTGTCGTGCTAATTTCAAGATCTCCGGATCATCCTCGTCACTGCTTTCCGCATCATCTGTCGACGACTCTCCTTCTACGGATTTCTCCCAGGAGATCATGCGGAGAGTCCCTGCCATGATCGGCGAAACCCGGGGAACCGCGTTAATAGTAGTGTGAAGGGTCAATCGCATGGGCACAACGTAGGGTTTTCCTCCTGTATTTCGGAGGATGATCGATCGTCGTTCGAAGTCCAGGTTTGCTCGTAACACCACAAGAGCGGGAAGTCCGAAGAGAACGCGGTAAGTATTGACATCTAATACTACAACATCCCCAAGCGCACGCACTTTACCCAATCGGAAAGCGACATTGGTCATTCTTCCCACGGTTTTAATTTTTTCTTCGTCAGTCGAAACGAGCTGATCTTTCTCAGAAAGCGTGATCAGGTCGTTTTTCCTACCTGCCCTTTCGACCATCCTCAGTGAGATAGCCAACACAACCGCTCCCGAATCTATAATAGCATTGTAAGAGATTCCCCAAATTTCTATATCACACTCGGCGGATCCCCACGGAATTGGTTTAATCCGCAGGAAATGATCATATTTCTGGATTAAACCTACTCGTATCGGATCCGAAGTACTTGCGGGGTTTTCTTCGGGCGCGGGGCTTTTGGCTTTCGCGTTCGGGGTTCGGACAAGGGCGAATCGCTTTCGGTTCGCTTTGCAATGCTGTAACATTCGCTCATTGGCTTGCTCGGAGATCGAGAGCAGATGACCAATCGGAAGGGGAATCCGATGGTCCAAAAATCGGATGATGTTTAATACATCGATCTCCTTGTGACGAAGGTGGGTCCTCCTGACTCCATTTCTCCTAGGGACAGTCGCCACTCCGCCACCTCCTTTGGTTCTGGCGCTGGTCTGATTGTTCCGATCATTCCAAGCCCAGGATATCCTAGCGACACATACTGGTCTAGCGGGATCAGTTCGGCGGTCTCTTCCGTGGTAGCCAGGGCACTTCCCCCACTTTCTACTTCTTCCATCAGGGCTCCAACTCGTCCAGGTCCGTTGGCGATGGGGGCCGCAACCATAGGCGCGACTCCGATTCGTTGTTGCGGGGGTCGGTGGGGGCAATCACGGGCTAGATGGCCTGGTTGATGACAGGCGGAACAGACATTCAGATTGTTCGCGACTCCTCCGAGCGCAAGGGCCGGGGCTAATCCTTGCTGCATCGGAGAGGCACGCACCGCAATGGGTCGCATGTTCCTCATCATGGCTTCTAGCCTAGCATTGTGCTCTCGCTGCTCCTTTTTGCTTTCCTGGATCAAGCTAATCAAGGTTTTGGTTAGTTCGAAAATGGCAGCCGATTCGTTTGATCGTGCA